TGCGGTCTTTCTATTGCGAAAATAGAATGCTAAATAGAACCAAGTCATTGTCTTACTCAGTTCACATATGACAACCGGTATTCTGAATAATGAATGAAAATGAAGAGTTTGGGTTCGCATATGGTGCCACTTACGTCGGATTGTACGACCCCGTACTGGTTTAATCGTCACAGAGAACGCTGCACAAAGTGACTTCCTGTGAAGCAGAGGCAAAACCGAGTTTTGTTTCATCCCACCCAGTCGATAAAGGGACGTCTTTAGTGAAGACTCAACATTTCTTATCCTGCGCCAAGCACTGAAAAATCGGCTCAAATCTGTCATATCACGTGATCCCGCGATTTTCGAAGTTTTCACCGTCCGTTTCATCACACGTCATCTTATGACCCCGACCAAACTAGCCTTACGACAGCACGCATCACAGCATATCCCGCAATCGAAACTATCTGTCGGCTGACATGCAGACTTTTCTTCTGACATGTCCGTCTTACTTTCCTATGTACCAGCCAGGTGAACCATTGAGAGACGTGTTCGCCTAGCATTCCCTTTCGCAGCGTCAGTGTGAGAATTCCTCAGTAACTAATCATGATGTCTACTCGTACGCTGGCTGTGAATTCGGCTCTTGCACCTTCATAATTCGTTGCCATAGTTGATGATTAATATGTGGAAAACTTTCCTCGCATCTTGGCAAGTGCCGTTAACCACTTTGGCGGCTACATCTGTTCCCTTTCTCAGGGCGACCATTTGCCCTGGATATCCAGACAATTCTTGTTTGAAGAATCACATTCGTTCGCGTTTGAGCAGTCCTCTTCCTGTCCTGGACAATTCGGTGAAAGCATTGGACTCGAGCTTCCCTCTGATTAGAATTCATGAGCAGTGCGTATCTCTGATTTTGCTGAATTTTGAAATCCGGACATCTGGTATGCCAGGCGAGCATGTTACCATTGATTCACGAGCGTAGTGATAGACGCTGGTGGACACACCTGAACGGGCGAACCTGTTCACATTTGAGCAATGTCCTTGATTTGCCCGATACTTCGAACAACTTCCTGGTTGTACAGATCCCACAGCCATGTACACCTGTTTATTGTTTTACTCCGCTGACCTTATTACAGCAACATGTTTTCACGCTCCCAATCCTCAACAAGTGACTACTTTGCCAAGAGATAGCAGCGAGTGCGCCTGATCTCTTTTAGTAAAGTGGTTCCTTTGAGGAATGAACGCCGAACAAATCCTACACACCTAAATATTTGGGGATCCTAGTATAAGGGACTTTCAGCGTGTTTAGTACTCAAAATATTATCTAGACCTGCCACACATGTCTAAATTTTTTATCGAATCGTTTTCCCAATCCGAACTCTGCTGCCTTAGCTGCATGGCATTCGGCTCACTGGCGTCTTCCACTTCACTAGCAGTTGTCCTCTTCCATTTTGCACACTATTGTGATAGGTAATCGTCGTTTTCCTTGTTTTTCTTTACTTTCTTCCTTTAGAGGGTGTAATAAACCTGACTGGCAAGTCGTTTGTGTGTATTCTCCACGAGTACTGTCAAACTGTGATCCGCTCTCCACCAACCTATCAGACAGTAGTACTGGAAAATGAGAAGAATCCATACAAATTAACCGTGCTGATAGGCGGGACACCATATGCGACCGGTGTCGGACGGAGCAAAAAACAAGCACGACTGGAAGCCGGTGAGCTTCATCCTTTATCGCGATAGATTTCATCAGCCCACACTGATTTCCCAACTATAATCCGTTAGCCTTTTAATTGACTCTATACTTTTGGTAACTCGAAAACGCATACAGTAATTTCGTGACCTTGCTGTGCAACTTGTGTTTTCCAAGGGAGACACAATTACCTACTCAGGATCGAAACGTTGGGTTTGCCAATGCGGTCCATTAATGATCACAACTCCGTCGNCAAACCATGGACCTACCGATCAGTAAGTTCGTGCCTTAACCACGAACTCCAGTTTCTCGGACCGATTACTGAATCTAAATGTTATTCATCCAGTTTACACCTTTTGAGCAAGCTGTGACGGTTTTCGAACCTCCGTGGACTGGAGACATCTTTTTAAGTGGACTGATGCTGTCGTTGCTGACTTCTGGACACTTTCCTAGGGTTTGGGATATACTCCGCTTTAGTGCGAAAGTGTTGAAAATTGTAAAATTCATGATTTTATCGTTGGTACCACTTTTATTGGATGGATCTGTTTTGATGGCTTATCATTAAGTAACTGTCATACATAAGATTGGGAACCAACCACTCTGATGTCAACTCAGAAAGTGCGGTTGCCAGAGAATGAATTGCACACCAGCAGTTAAGCTCGTTTCATCCAGAAATTTTAACTGAAAGCTATCAGGAAAACGCACTTCCATTACATGCTACGTTTTGAAAACGCTCCCTCGTCACTTAGATGTCTAAGAGTTGGATTTCTGGGTGGTTGAACTGTCCGCTTAGATTTTCACTTTTGTTTCATGCAACATAATCTCCAGGCTGAGCTAACGTCTCAACTATGTGCCGGACACCCTGAGTTTGCAGCATTGTCTTCTGTATCAAGTGGATTTATGAATAATTAGAAACAGCCGAAGACCTAAGCCTGTTACGCTGTTAGTGTACACTGTCTCTAAACCCCATCTTGCATCTGTGTTCATGACAAAATATCAGATTTCACCAATACCAAACCTTCATATAATTAGTTACCGCCATTTTACAGACAGCAACTCGTAACATGAGTCGCTCAGATTGCCGGTCGTCCAGTCACTGATGATTTACATTTGTATTACAGCCGGAGGAGGCGAAGGTTATTCGTTATCAGCTACCACCCGCAGAAGGCGATCCGAGTCGCATGCACAAAGTGACTTCCTGTGAAGCAGAGGCAAAACCGAGTTTTGTTTCATCCCACCCAGTCGATAAAGGGACGTCTTTAGTGAAGACTCAACATTTCTTATCCTGCGCCAAGCACTGAAAAATCGGCTCAAATCTGTCATATCACGTGATCCCGCGATTTTCGAAGTTTTCACCGTCCGTTTCATCACACGTCATCTTATGACCCCGACCAAACTAGCCTTACGACAGCACGCATCACAGCATATCCCGCAATCGAAACTATCTGTCGGCTGACATGCAGACTTTTCTTCTGACATGTCCGTCTTACTTTCCTATGTACCAGCCAGGTGAACCATTGAGAGACGTGTTCGCCTAGCATTCCCTTTCGCAGCGTCAGTGTGAGAATTCCTCAGTAACTAATCATGATGTCTACTCGTACGCTGGCTGTGAATTCGGCTCTTGCACCTTCATAATTCGTTGCCATAGTTGATGATTAATATGTGGAAAACTTTCCTCGCATCTTGGCAAGTGCCGTTAACCACTTTGGCGGCTACATCTGTTCCCTTTCTCAGGGCGACCATTTGCCCTGGATATCCAGACAATTCTTGTTTGAAGAATCACATTCGTTCGCGTTTGAGCAGTCCTCTTCCTGTCCTGGACAATTCGGTGAAAGCATTGGACTCGAGCTTCCCTCTGATTAGAATTCATGAGCAGTGCGTATCTCTGATTTTGCTGAATTTTGAAATCCGGACATCTGGTATGCCAGGCGAGCATGTTACCATTGATTCACGAGCGTAGTGATAGACGCTGGTGGACACACCTGAACGGGCGAACCTGTTCACATTTGAGCAATGTCCTTGATTTGCCCGATACTTCGAACAACTTCCTGGTTGTACAGATCCCACAGCCATGTACACCTGTTTATTGTTTTACTCCGCTGACCTTATTACAGCAACATGTTTTCACGCTCCCAATCCTCAACAAGTGACTACTTTGCCAAGAGATAGCAGCGAGTGCGCCTGATCTCTTTTAGTAAAGTGGTTCCTTTGAGGAATGAACGCCGAACAAATCCTACACACCTAAATATTTGGGGATCCTAGTATAAGGGACTTTCAGCGTGTTTAGTACTCAAAATATTATCTAGACCTGCCACACATGTCTAAATTTTTTATCGAATCGTTTTCCCAATCCGAACTCTGCTGCCTTAGCTGCATGGCATTCGGCTCACTGGCGTCTTCCACTTCACTAGCAGTTGTCCTCTTCCATTTTGCACACTATTGTGATAGGTAATCGTCGTTTTCCTTGTTTTTCTTTACTTTCTTCCTTTAGAGGGTGTAATAAACCTGACTGGCAAGTCGTTTGTGTGTATTCTCCACGAGTACTGTCAAACTGTGATCCGCTCTCCACCAACCTATCAGACAGTAGTACTGGAAAATGAGAAGAATCCATACAAATTAACCGTGCTGATAGGCGGGACACCATATGCGACCGGTGTCGGACGGAGCAAAAAACAAGCACGACTGGAAGCCGGTGAGCTTCATCCTTTATCGCGATAGATTTCATCAGCCCACACTGATTTCCCAACTATAATCCGTTAGCCTTTTAATTGACTCTATACTTTTGGTAACTCGAAAACGCATACAATAACTTCGTGACCTTGCTGTGCAACTTGTGTTTTCCAAGGGAGACACAATTACCTACTCAGGATCGAAACGTTGGGTTTGCCAATGCGGTCCATTAATGATCACAACTCCGTCGTTAATGTGTTTCATTTCAGGTTAACCAGGAGTTATTTTGTCATGTAAATCAGTTCTGCTAGTTCTCATGTATCATTCGACTTCAAACAGGCTTTTCAGAAATGTGCGGTCCATTAATGATCACAACTCCGTCGTTAATGTACCGTGTTTCAGGTTAACCAGGAGTTATTTTGTCATGTAAATCAGTTCTGCTAGTTCTCATGTATCATTCGACTTCAAACAGGCTTTGGCGTTCAGAAATGTCGTTTGCCCGAAACCTGAGGACGCTTCACGTGGTATGAGAACCATCAACCACCTAGGTTTCATTGTAGGCCTCTACAACTAACTCAGCTTGTCAACACATCTCGTGACAAGTGTTTCGTCGTTGGTCACAGTGTTTATTTTACGAAGGTCATCGGATTTAATAATTGGCTGCTTATTGTGATGGTTCTCTCTTCCAGAACTTGAGTGGTTAAAAGTTTCCTTAATATTCTGTTCGATATCCACCATCTTCGCACTTCTCTGAACTCATGTATTGCTAGAAAAGGATAATCTCAGGATGGCAGCGGTTGTTTGTCAAAAATTGATGAATTTGGAGGTGTTTAGATTGTGTGTAGCCGCAGTCTTCATCTCTTGGTCCCGAGCTGTGGCAGTAAGACTCACGAAGGACAAGATGACAATGGTTATCTTTCTAAGCACTTAGTGTGGATGTTGATGGCCAAGCGATTTTTTCATTTTTCATTAACAAACGCGATTTCCATCGAGAGGAACCGGTGCCAAGCTTCCGTTTGAACTGAGAACTGGGTAGCTCACTAGCTAAGTACTTGATTTCGCTGATAAAGAAATATTCCTACACTGATTCACTTATGAGCAGACGAATGTCACGTTCAAAAAAGTCGTTTATAGACAGTGAAAAGGGAAAGCTGAAGGTAGTTCAGTCAGTTCACTGGCTTCAGATGCAGCTGCGCTGGTTACCCATCGTCGAATTAAATGACACAGCCAGCCAGTCCTCTTTCAAGTCCTCAAATTTCTTTAAGTATCTCCAACACAAAATGTACAGGATACTTCAATAAAGGTCTCTGCACATTAGGACTGCTACAGTAGAATGCACGCCTTTCTTCAGCAAGGCAGCGCGTATCATCGAAAAGATTTTGCTAGTGATACCCGTCCATACTGTGAACGGCAAATCCGTGCAAACTTACCACTTTGTATGTTTTCTTGTCCATCGAAAAGCTGACTAGGTTCATCCCCTGTATGGCTGTTTATTCAAACTGTAAGTCGGTTGTTGCTGAAGTCTTGACCCATTATTCATCGGACGTTATTAGGTAGGAGTTCTATAAGGCATTCTTTGGTAGACGGTTCATACCGGATTCCTTGTGGGGCGATGTAGGCCAGGTCTCACAGGATGGATAGCAAGCAGCTCCAGTGAGTTTCTTCCGCTGGAACAGGCTATATTGTCTGTTTTGTGTAGAATGATTTCATCAGTGGAGGAGGAGAATGGGAGTGATGTGAATAAAAGCTCTACGGATCCAACAAAAATCCACAGCGCTTATAATCTTCTGAAATAACCACAACGATGTAGTCCATTTTCTTTCTGTCTATATGCGTTACAGCATTGGAATTCGGTTAGCCAATATAACCGAGGTCAATTGCACCAATACTCCGGCAGCATGATAAACTGTCGCATTGTTGGAAATAGGCACAATGTTTACGAATGGACCAGGTGTAAGCTTCAACCGAAATGCCAATCCCTAATGTCGTTTAAAATGATGGTGGTGGACCGATAGTTTCTTTAATGGACTAGTTCTGTCCTATGTGATGCCAATTTTTGTGTGCTTTAGATAGAAAGGCATAACTTCACTACACTGTTTTACTGTGTGAATGAAACTTGAGGCTTATATGTGATTGCTTGCCCGTAATGTTGATAAAAATCATTCATCTCAATGGAGATCACCTCCAATTAACAATAGTTTTGTTGCTACCCGCTGGTTGTCTCCGTTCGTTGCTGTACGCGAACGTTACGAGGGACGCGCCGGCCAGACATATGCCTCTGATTTGCTTATTTCCACTCAATCCGCCAATGAACTGTAGATCACAAACGATTTGTACTGAGCCAGGCTTGTTAGGTGGGTCGTCCGTTTTCCACACATTTAAGGTTTCAGGTGTCATCTGTATGATACCTTAATGAATACTCGCACTTCCATGTTTTTCAATTCCCCACACTTGTAGCTCGCAATGCCTTATCTCGGTTGATACCCGATTTCGATAAAATCGTTGGTTCACACAATCCAACTAACGGTCCTACAGTGGCCTCTGAACGTGACTTGCAGCTGTTTGACGGAGTCTCTATTACTGATCCACGACTTTATGAAATGTCCGTTCGAATGGCTTTCCCCACCCCACACAACTGCCTCGTGGAGTGTCTCAGCCGGAATTGTGTACCTGAGAGTGATCTGAAAGCCAATATGATGTCGCAAGGTCGTAGTAAACACTTCTTCACATTGCAGTTACGAGAACATTCCATAAAGGTATGAAAGTTGCCTTCTTAAAAAAAGGTATTTATGTGTATTTTACTTTTTTAAAACTCGGGTAAGTTTTACCGGAAGGTGGGTTTGGTCCTGTCAGTTTTTTAGACCTTGCTCGATTCCAGTCGAGGGTTTTATCAACTTCAGGTTACGTGATAAACAAGTTGGGGGTGAGATGGCCCAAGTGGTTAGAGAGCAAATTTACTGACCGGAAGGTCCGTGGTTCGAACCCGACCTCTGCCACTCGACTCCCTGTCTAGGTTTGGGCAACCTGGCAGTATCCGAGCCCCCGTGCCTCCTTCGTGTGACATGGGAGCTAGGCACCGAAAGGGTGCTGCAGCTGGACGATAAACAACTTGATAATCCACACAAGGTCAATTGAAACGTTTATGTAACCTGAAATTATTTGAGACCTTGACTATCAACCTTGAGGCAGTCCTTGCGCAGCACATTCGATTGAGGAGCATTCTGAGGGATGCGCAGTGTATCGAGTTCCATCTTGCCTATATTGAAACATCTCAGTTTCCCGTCAGGTTACCTTTTGATTTATGCGGAGGACCCCTTTCCGAACATCTTAAGAATTTTACTGATGATTCTTACTGGAAATTAGGAGGCATGTTGAAATGAGGAAGGCATAGGAATGACGAACGGTGGCCGCAATCAATGTTTTCGAGAATTTGTGGCTATTCTGTCCGCCTTTATGGAACCATTCGGTTTTGTTCTGGACCCCTCGTGATCGTCATCAATTGAAAGCAACACAGGCTTAAAGCACTGGTGTATTTTTGAAATCAACGAGGATCGTTCATCAGCACATTCCCCTTTAAATTGTTCACACTACCTAATTTAATCTGATTATTTGAATTAGTAACCTTATTCGGTCACATCCTCGTTCCTGCATCCTTCTCTTATCTTGCGGCGATCACTCAAGTTAACCTATAGGTGGGTTGCAACCCTTTGATACCTGTATTGTTTTAGTTGATGGTCCCATTCAGTAACTGTCCCAACCCCGTGTTACCGATATTGTTATTGACAAACAGTGGGCTCTCTCAATTAGTGAAAGGCCTCCTAAAGCTTGTTTGCATGACAGTTAGCAAACCTCTTCATATTGTTCACATTACAGTACGAATTTCAATTGCTTTTCGTAAACAAAAACGTAATTTTCAGACTAGCACGACTCCTGGAGAGCCGGCTACCACTCACTTGATGAATCTTCCGATTGTAGGTCCCGTGTAGGAACAAGCGAGAAGGTCGACATCTGGCAGCACAGCATTTGCTCGCTCGACTGCATCCGGAGATAACTTCTTGGGGCGGTATTTTGCGGATTTACGGACCCGGTACCAAGCCTGATAAACGCGGTGAATTAGAAACTATTCAAGGAGCACAAAATCAGGAAAAGTCTGCAGTCAAGACGAGTTTGATTCGATTGTTGAAAACTAAGATGCGGGAACTGGCTGATCAGTGGGTAAGTTTGGTGCACTTATGCATCTAACAATCGCCTGATTTGGTGTACGAAAGCCGGTTTTTTCCCTCCTCGCGGAGCAGCAGGTATCCAGATCACGGCTGATGGCAGATCCTGCTCATTAAATCGCTTAATCTGGCCCGTCTCTATTTAAAAATGGGGTTGGAATTATTTTCCATTTTCTCCACGATATGCAACAATCACAGGGCTCTCTTCTTTTCTTGGATTTGATTTATCACGAAGTGGCAACGGTCTATCTCATCTCCTGTGTAACTTGGGTACTGTAACCCATTAGATTTTTTCCAGGTTAATACCACTCACCTAAAGCTTCAGTTACTCGAGATCCCCAAGTTTCACCTCTTATTCGGAAGAGGGATCTTTTAGATGTTCGAAATGCAACTTCCTTAGATATGTTACACGGAGTAAAATATACCATAGTGACAGGCATTAATGCGCTGAAATAATACGAGTCTTGGAGCTGACCTTCGGTGGTCTGTTCATTACCAGAAGAAATTGTGTGACTGCGTGAACCTTTCTCTCCTAAACAGTACAAAGACAACGGCTTTGTGATGCTCCGAGGGAACTGGTTGCGTTCGCGATCGGGTTATGTTCCAATTCTCCAGGATCCGTTTTATTTATTTGACCGTCCTGTCAACTTTCTTAACAGGAGGGGCAGGGTGCAACGTAGTATAAGTCAAAAGAGATGGGTGTTCTCCACATATATTCGATATAAATACTCTGCGGAACGCCTGTGTGTCTTAATTCTGGGATGTAGGCCCAGACTCCTAAGCAAACTCTGGTTAGTTGTTTTCATTATCCCTTTCTCGTCGTCGCTGCCACTGCTTTGCCTTTCTGCGTCGTTGCTGCTTACCTAAACCTGTCTGAATGTATCTGTATAAATTGATTAGACTGGACCCATATTATCAGTTCATCCTAATGGCCATACGCTTGTTAACTATTTCACTGTCTTCTCTGTTCACAAGCACACCCCACTGTTCTCTGATTCCTAATATATATATATATAT